GAGCGGCCGGCTCGCACCCGAAACTTTCTGTGGGTGCCGAGTCCGGTGACCTCGCAGAAGTGAGAAATGCCTGTTTCTGCCCAGCGGTTTTGCCGAAGCAGAAAGAAAACATTATTCATTCCGTCTTTCTTTGTAGGAAGAAAAGAAAAGATTTTTTTTTCTTTTAAGTAAAAGGATTACAAAAGAAAGGCACCCACTCAGTCTAATTAATTTTAAAATACGGGGTTCAAGTACTTGTGTCTGTACAAATATTTCTGGGGCCTGGAGGGGAATAGGGTGTCCTTGGGTTTCTGTTTCTACCAATTAAAACCTGGGCAAACAAGTGTTTCCCCTCTTGTTTTTGGATATGCCACTCACCGTATTTACATTTTCCCAGTGTGTAACAAGTTTTATGTCCTTCTTGACATTGTCAGAATAAAATGCAGGTATGAAGTGCCTTGCAAATGTGTAATCTAGTAGGATAGAGCTGGCCTGGATGGTTTTGGTTTTCTTTTTAACTGTCTGTGATGTTCTGCTCTACCTAGCTTGGACGACAGTGGACTAACTATGGACTAACACACACACACACACACACACACACACACACACATATATATATATATTTTTTGGTTAAGTCATATGTAACATTTTTTTTTGTTTTGTTAGATTTTTTTTTTTTACCACTTATGATACTCAGGGGTTATTTCTGGCTCTCTGCTCAGGAGAGATTCCTGGTCATAGCAGGGGGACCATATGTGGCTCCATTCTCGGTTGCTGGCAGGATGCAGGCCAGTGCCTTAACCCACGTGCTATCTCTCCATATGCTCCTACAACTTCCTTTTATCTTTTGAGAGGTCTGACTAATAATCCCAGACGTTGGGATTTTCTTCTAGGCTCTCCTAGAGTTTCTTGTCTCTTTCTTAGCCTGTTTTATTTTGGGGTGTGTGTGTGTGTGTGTGTGTGTGTGTGTGTGTGTGTGTTTTGGTTTTATAAATAATAGAGCACTGGTGCCTATTAAAAACCCCATAACCATGTACCTTATATTACACTTCCCCAAAGAGTCAGTGTCACCAACTTAATGGAAAACACACTATTTAATTATTTTGCTGTGACTAATAAGGGTTTCAGGAAGTAGCCAGCATAAAAGCCCGGAAAGAGAAGAAGTGTTCAACATAAACAATGAGGAACTGGGGATATGGCTCAGAGGACTGGAGCACTGTATCCCCGCCAGCACAGCTGGGGGACCCACCCCCCAAAGCTGGACAAAATAAAAAAAAAACCTTGAGGGAACTACTTTGCTGGTAGAGAGCAGAAATCTGTAACTCGGGATTGCTACAGAGATGGTCGTCATTCCCACCAGTTCAGATTCCGATGGCATTGCCTCCCGAGGTGAGATTTTAAACAATTTCCCGGAGATTTTCCTGGATGCTTTGGTCAAGCCAGAGCCCTGGTGAAGATTCAGAGACATCTCACCTTCGTGCGGTGGCAGAAGTAGCAAAACTTTAGGCTTTCTCTCTCCTTTCTCATTCCCCATCCCGATGACCAGACCCGGGAATGCATTTGATTGCCTTTCATGGAATATTTCAGGATTCCTCCACTTTGTTTAGCACAGGCCATCGTGAACTAGCAACTGATGTCACTGATTTGTAGCCCAACATACTATTTTCATTCAACGGATATAAATTTAGCAGGGGACAGGCACTATTGCAGACTCTGGAGGTACAGCCATGTGAGAACAAAGATCACTGCCTTCCTAAGGGCTGCCCTTGAGTTGGAAGGACAGACCATAAATGGTCCACATAAGAAACAACACAAGTGTGTGGTATATGATTGGTGGGTTTAGGCTGTCATAACAAGAGACCAACACTGGGACTTGACTTCTCATAGTTCTGGGGACCGGTGTGCAAGGTCAGGGTATTGGAGAGCTTGGTTTTGCCTGAGGCTTCTGCCCTTGGCTTGTAGGTGACGCTTGTCCCTGTCTATATATCATCTTTCCAGACCTGTGTCTGTCCCTGACGCCTCTCCTAAGGACACCACGGATTTTGGATGAGGGCCCCCCCCTCCCAGCTTCATTGAGCCTAATCACTCCCTAGTCCCAAACATTATCTTTTATTTATTTGTTTATTTTAGATTTTTATTTGTGAAACACCATGAGATGCAGTTGTAGATTTACAGCTTTTTGTGCTTGGGTTTTAGTTATACAATGATCGAATGCCCATCCTTCCACCAGTGCCCATTCTCCACCACCAGTGATCCCAGTATCCCTCCCACCCCCTTTTATTTATTTTTAATTAAAAAAAATTTGAATTGAATTACAGTGAAATACAGAATTACAAAGTTGTTCATGATTGGGTTTCAGTCATATAATGTTCCAACACCTGTATCTAAAAAATATATACTTTTTTTCTCAGTTAAAAAAAAAAACCACCATTGTCCCCAGTTTCCTCCCCCCCCCCGTCAATGGCAGCCAATTTTCCTCTCTCTCTCTCTCTCTCTCTCTCTCTCTCTCTTTCTCTCTTTCTCCCTTTCTCTCTCTTTCTCTCTTTCTCTTTCTCTCTCTCTCTCTCTCTCTCTCTCTCTCTCTCTCTCTCTCTCTCTCTCTCTCCACCCCTACCCCATGGGCATTATGATTTGCTATACAGATACCGAAAGGTTATCAGGTATATCCCTTTACCTACCTTCAATACTCAGTTCCTGTCCAGAATGATCATTTCCAAGTAGTAATGTCATACAGGTCCTTTCTCTATTCTGTCCTCCCCCCCCTCCACACACACACACACTCTTGTGGCAAACTTACACCCATTGACCAGTTCTCTTGGCCCCTGACAAATATTATCCTAATAGGGGCTAAGGCTCTTCATCACCAGAATTTGGGAAGGGCACCATTCGAATGCGTTCTCCTCTGTATTGGACAGAAAGGAAGATTTTGGTGACAGATGAAGGTCCACAACGGGGTGGGCATTGCCATTTTGAATCGTGTGGCTGGCGTAGAGTTAGTGGAGGAGGTGGGATCTTGGCAGAAATTTAAGGTCCAGTCACGTTCTATTGTTGCTTGAACACGGAGGTGGAGCAGTGGTGTGTTGGAGGTAGGCACAAGTTTCTAGTCTCGACCGTTGTCTTTCTGTGTCTTTCTGGTGGTAGAATTTCTAAATATGACATCAGTCATCTGGGTTCCAGTGTCCAGACCTGCCATGTAACCTTGTGAAATGTACCAGAGGTTCTCAGAAGTCCCATGGGCCCCACTGATGATGCTTGGCCAACGGGCAGAGGCTCAGGACAGGGATCTGAACTTGCAGCATTTTTCGGACCCTGGAGGTGCTCAGTGCCAGTATCACTCTTGGAGGCCACTAGAGCTGCACCTGGTGCAGCATGCGGGGAACCACATGGTGCCCAGAATCGAACCCAGGTCAGGGCGCATACTCACTAACTGTTGTACTCTCTCCCAGCACCTTCCTCCCCCTCCATCCCCCCGTTTTTTTTTTTCTGTTTTCAATGAAGGTCGCTTACGACTAAGCTTGACCCACGCAGTTGGTGGTGTTTAGCACTTCCACATCTGTATGGATCCAGCCCTGCAATACTTGAAAGCCACTGGGACCATACCCAGCTGTGCAGGGGGCAGGAGGGGGAGGGGGTGCCGGGTCATGGCATAAGGAGCCAGAGATCAAACTTGGGGTTTTGTGCGTGCTAAAACATGTGTGTATGCACAATGTCCTTCTCCCCTGGATGATTGTACATTCCTGAAGGGCTCGAGATGGAAAGAAAGGACTTTATGCCTACGTATTGGCTGGGGCGGGATGGTGGCGAGGGGTAATAGGTATTTGCTCTGGGGATTTGCTTTCATCCTTTTCATTTGATAAGCAGGAATGGGCTGAAGACTCATTCCATAAAGTATTACTCAGAGCGCTGTGAGGTTGCAATCTTCTTTTCCAAAAGACAGACACCTAGCATAACCAACCTACAGCGCCAACCTGAGGGCCCTTCCAGGAGAGCAATAGCTTGTGAAAGCTGTGAAAATAGCCAAGAGAGAAGAGGCTGTTTTTCCTGCCTTTTTGGTCTCTCCCGGGCCCTGCATTCCCCTTTGCAGCGGGCAAAGAGCTGGAACTTGGAACAGTAACCCCAAGCCACAGAATCCATCCCGTAATAGGCCCTACCCTAACCACACACTCCACGCCAACCAGCCAGCCTAAAAATGGAAAAAGGGCAGGCGTGGAAACACTGGCGAGATGGGAATGAAATCTGGAGTTTTGCTCACAGCCCCTATGAGTCTCTTCTTCCCGACCCACCAGCCCGCTGTGGTTCTGTGCGATGCTAACGTTCGGGAATGTGGGTGAGGGCGACGTGGGAATTCTTTGAGCCTTCTCTGCCACTTCGCCCTTAAGTCTCCAATTAGTCCCAAATTGGAAGTGTTCTTTGAAAAGGGCCCTCCATGGCCTCAGAGATGACGCGGGCCCCAGACATGATTCAGAAAAGTTATACCAGATGCATGCCTGACTGTCTGAGGCAGGAGCGCCGGCCCACATATGGAGGCAGTGGAGGTTGCTCTCTGCTCACAGCTTGGCCTTGAACATCCCTTTGTCACCTTATCACAGTGCTGCAGGGTTTTGGTTGGGGTGTGGGGGCGGGGTACCTCTGACTCCTGCTTGCATTCCCTAAGTAATGGGAGAATGACCACCTGGAAGCATTCTTTTCATCATCAGATTAGGTAGGGAGCGAAGAGGTTGAGGAGACCATCTAGAGGAAAGGCTTTCAGAAACCAAAGATACCAAGGCCCAGGCAGTTTGGAGAGGGAGCCCGTCTTCCAATCACAGGCGTCTGACCTTCTTCTGAGGGCTGCACTCTCCATGCCTCATCGTCGTTCTGTGCTGGGTATCCGTCTGTTTTGATCAGATGTGGGTCTTCCTGCTCTTAGAGAGGTTGTGCATTCCATACTTCATGAAGTCGGGGGCCGGGCTGGGGCCGCTGAGATGGACCGCGGCCCCTTGATATGTATGTGTATATGATCCCTTTGTTTTTATTGACAGCTGCAAATCAGAAGGAGCCCATGAATCTTCATTTTAAAGTGAAAGAGGAGCCCAAGGATGAGGAGACGCTCGGTGCCACCGTGCCCCGGTCCAGCTACGTGTTCAGTCCAGAATCGGATGTGCCAGCCCCAGGCATCGCTGAGGACACGCTGAAGACCCAGGAGGGGAAGGGGAATGTCCTAAGGCGGGATATGTCGGTCAAGGCAGCATCAGAACTTCTCATGAAGCTATCAGGTGTGTGATTTATTCTAAAATTTCCCACTGGTTCCACTCCTGGGCCACTTTCAGTCTGGGTTGTTGGGACCTTTGCGCTTCCATAACTGCAGGAAGTCAAGAGCGTTGGGATCGCTGGGCTTGAACTCCTGATGTGGGGGATGTGTCCGTGGACCTCAGCTGTGTGGACTTAGCTGTCTGATTAAGTTGGGTCCTCTCTTCCTGCACGGGGCTGCAAGCTATCAGAAAACAGCTCTGCTTTCTAAGATGGCACAGGTCATTGTTTCAAACAGAACTGAACAGTATTAGACATGCTAGTATATTAGACCTAATAATAATGCTATATTAGACCTAATTATATATATATTTTATATATCAGACCTAATATATATTAACCCTAACAATAATATTAGTGCTGCTGCTAATTGGTCCAAATATCTGTTCTTTCCAAAGAGAGGACCTTGCATTTTTGTGTATATGTTTATATTATATTCTTGAAGAGCCACTCAATATATTTTTCTTAACTTAATAAGTAGTTACGGTGACACCTTGAAGACGTAATTACAATTGAGTAGCAGTGAGCTTTTTATGAGTAGAAAATTTCATTCTGGAATGTCACATTAATTAATCAATCTGAGTTCTAAACATGAATGAATAATTCTTTATTAGTCTCCACATGTTAGCATAGCCTGCCAAATGTAGGGGAAAATAGGTGGCAATTGAAAATTTTGTGTATTTTGGATTATTTCCCACTGACTCCTCCCTGCCCCCAACCCCTTTAGAAGGAGTAAAATTGCAGTGATTTGAAAGTACGATTTCCAGAATGTGGACGGGAAAGCTCCATCAATAAGAATATTTACCAATTTCATTCTTGCTTAGAAGAAATTTATAGAATCTGTATTCAAAATGCTAATATGTACCAAGAGCTATTTTCCGTTTGTAACTTGTGCCTGGAAAATGAAGGGAAGAAATGCATTAGGGAGACTCCTTCCCTATAATTTAATTAGCGAGTCTGACTGCGTTTCTGGTTGACCAGCAGGTTGGAAAGTAAGAAATGAATAGGGATTTACTTAGGATCGTTATATCAGAGCAGCTGAAATTCCCATATTTGCCAGTTGGTGGGGTTAAGAATTCTTTCCCTTCATATTAATGCAAAACACACGGGAACTTCCGGGGAACATGATTTGTTACAGATAATGCATAATACACGATTCCATTCTTGTCACAGGCCCGTTATTTTTCTACACATTGTAGTGATAGTGCGACTTCTCCTTTGCGGTGAAGATCTAGCAAGAAAGTGCTGAGTGCAGAAAACTGAGCACTTTAAAAGCTGTTGTTTAAGACAGGATATTTGTTGTTTGTTTATTTTTGGGTAAGCCAGGATATTTGGATATACTTAAAGCCGCTCTCTCGAGTTAAAGACCTCACTGAGATTTGTCTGTCTGTTGATTTCCTAATCAATCCCAACACACCTTTGTTGGTGTCCCTAGGCCGAGCCCTTCTGTGCCAATTGCTAATTCTGACAGTGCCTCTGTCCTCTGATGGCTGGATTCTTTGGGAGAGTCATTCTTCTGTGGAGTTTGCAACCGGTGAGAGGGTAGAGAAAGCTGAGCAGGTGTCTGAGCTAAAGTGAGACTTTAGGAAAGTTGTTCCTTAAAGCATTGTTGGGACCGGAGTGATAGCACAGTGAAGAGGGTGTTTTCCTTGCATGCAGCCAACCTGGGTTCAATCCCCAGCATCCCATATGGTCCCCTGAGCACCGCCAGGAGTCATTCCTGAGTGCAGAGCCAGGAGCAACCCCTGAGCATTGCAGGTGTGACCCAAAAATAAAAAAAAAAAAGCATTGTATCTGAACCCTTTGGATGATGCAGTGTGAGACTCCGATGTAGGAAATCATTTTCTAGCTAGAAACGGGAGTATTCCAGTAGGACATAGCCATACATTTGTAGATAACAGGAGCCCTTCGAAATGTAGATGTTGGGTTCAGTGAGCCCACATATTATGGCATTCAGCAGTGGTTGAATGTATTTCCAAAGGTGCCCTGCTTTGTGGAATGGAAATGAAAACTGATTCCAAGACGGATATCACTATTGCCCTTGCCCTGTAAAACCTCTTCAGCATTATGGGTGTGTGAGACTTAGAGCAGGAAACACGCATGACATGCTCTACCCTGGAGATGTGTCTGGTTTGGTTAGAAGCAATGCAGAGTGTCGAGGTCATTCACAAAGTGATGTAGGCTTGGAACTGGGGTTTTTGTGCTCCTGTTGACTTCAGACAAATTGACTTGGAAGCTTCTTCGTCCTGAAAAGACGTGGGACTGCAAAACAAATTACCAAATTTCTTCTCCTTTGTCAACTGCAAAGCAAACCTGTTCTTTATCAGGTTTCACATGGATATTAAAGTTGCTGGTCGCCGGTCTTCACTCTTGGAAGAAAGCAGGTGTCAGGGGGGGAACCTCTCTCCTCCAGTTGGAATCTTGGCTATCTCAGTGTTCCGGCCATGAAAGACATTCAAGTAAAGACCTGACCGTGTCTTCTGAGCCTCGTCTTCCATGACACTCCCTGCCTCTGTAAGGATACAAGCAGAACTCATTCCCCCCTCAACATGGGATTGTCAGAACTGCTCTCAGACCACCTCCCTTGTCCCCCCCTGGCTCACTGTGGTCACTTGCAATCTTCTGTCTGGCCGGTCAGGAGATTCGGAAGGGGAGAGAGCGTCCTGTGCATTATCAGGCATTTCCCCCCTTGTCTTTTGGACCTGAGGGGCCAGTTCGGAGAATGAATGAAAAGATTTTTCTACTCAGTTACATTTTTCCTAGAGGAAGAAGCCATGGCCTGAAGGGTAGGTCCTTTCAGTTTTCCCGTTGAAGGAGTTAAGACGAAACAAGTTGGCGATTTGGGCTACTTCGTTTACACTTTTAAATGAATCGATGATAACTCCTTCTGGATGGACATTGGGCACTTGGCCCAGCCAAACATCCTATGATGTGTCCCTCTGAGGAAAGCCCTCAGCAGGTATATCATTTTCCACAGTGACATTTGTGTTTTATGGGGGAACCAGACAAGTTAGAGATGAGGCTATGTTTTTATTAACTGTGCATTTTCCAGACTTTCCTTCCTCTCTGAGGTTCTCTTTCTAGTTGTGAGTTAGAGAGTCAAGTGCCTGTCAACTAGGCCCAACCAAGTGGTGATGGTGAGGAAAGCAGCCCATTGGGGGGAGCCCCACGAGGCCTGTGACCACCTGTTGTTATGCCAGACAAGGCCGCCAAAATAATCAGTCTCTCCACTCCGGGTAGCGTTGCCAAAGATGATTCCCAGAAGTCGGAGTTGCGGAGGCTATGATCCTGACATTCCACCCTGAGGCTCTCTGATAATTGACAAGGGACTCAGATCTGCTCTGAAAACTCTGATTTTTGCCATGTCTAGATACCTTGGAAATTTCTAAAACAGATGAGCTATGGCAGATGTGATAGGGTGCTAAAGGAGACAGGACCTGCTCCCTGTTCTGTCTCTGCTGGATTCGGTGGACTCCAGGAGACAAAGAATGGCCTTTCCTCTCCCTGACGAGTCACAGGAATGGGTGGGATGCAGCTCTCAGAGGTGCCAAGCGTGTGGCTGTGCCCAGAAGCAGCAGGTGAGGTTATTTTAAAATACAAATCCCAGGTGCCAGAGCAATAGCACAGTGAGTAGGGCATTTGCCTTGCACACGACCGACCCTGGTTTGATCTCCAGCATCCCATATGGTCCCCCTGGCACTGCGCGGCATAATTTCTGAGTGCAGTCAGGAGTAAGCCCTGAGAACCGTCTGGTGTGACCCAAAAAGCAAAACAACAACAACAAACCCAAATCCTACCATCGAGTTGGGAAGGCTGGTGGGATTTAGAAACATAAATGAAAAAAATGCAACATTAGAATTTATCTAACATAAAAGACTTCATATTAGACCTTGATGATTTCTTTTTTATGGATTTTTTACCCCAGATTTCAAATTTCGCATCTGAATTGACATTGACGGGATAGCCTGCTAGTTTAGCCTAACTTGCTAATAGTCTTATTAGCACAGTTCCGTATTTGTACTGTGGAATGATCACCACCATAAGTCCCATCTGTTACCACGAACTCTTAGTAGTTCATTGTTTTTCCTGCGATGAGAAGTTTGAAGGGCCCCTGTCTTAGAAACTTTCAAATGTTCCAAAGAGCATCATTAACTGTGGCCACTGTGCTATGTGTGACATACCCGGGACTTTTGATTTTATAATAGGACTATAATACCTCTGACCACCTGCAACACCTTCCTTTTTCCCTCCCCTCTCCCAGACCTCTGCGAACATTCTGTTCTCAGTCTCTGTTAGCTTCTTGTTATTCTTTTGTTGTTGTTGTTTTAATAGATAGACAAGTGGCTCCTAGTATATTTCTTTCTCTCCCGGTTTCACTTGTAATACCTCCCAAGCCCATCCATGTTGTGCCAAATGGTCAGACTTGCTTCTCTTGGCTGAATGGTTGAATAAAGTTCTGTTGTGTGTGCAGTGATGAGTCAGTTAAGCCTGTCTCTGTTCGTGACAGACCATGCACACAGCAGTGAGTGGTTCCAGTCATCTGTGCCCTGTGGCCAGGCATGTGTACCAAATTCTACCTTCCGAGAGTGTGTGATTGCACTCTGTCGGGTTCACAACACCCTTCTCAGAATGGATCCATGGGGCCCAGCAGTGAAGACCTTGCAGACCATCCTTTCAAACACACCTGGTGCTTTCCTCGTTTATGTACTCAGAGAAGGAAACCAGATAGACTCGTGTTCAGCTCCGATAGCTACTCTTTCCTTCCCGGCTGTTATTGGAGAGAAATAGGACTCATGGCTGGCTCTTGGAGAGGAAGCAAGGCAGGCTCTGGCTTCCACAGAGATGAGGGCTCTGGGATTCACCTCCATCAGACAGGGCTTCAGCTTGAGGATGCTCAGACGCAGGTGACTGGGGTAGGATAAAGTTTTAAGGGGAAGTTCACCTGTGGGGTGAACTGACACAGAAA